AAATCATTGATTTGTCCAATTAAAACAACACAAAAACAGCTTAAAACTGTTTAAGCCACTGTAGAAGCCTATTACTGTATTTTGAAATGTATTTTCCCATCACAATTCCTTGTGATGAGCCTATGCTTCTTGAGGTGACAGAGATTTGTTTTGGAATTTATATATGGCTGCAACATTCATTATGTTGGTTAATTTAACTGCCTTACTTTCAGGAAATCAAAGTGGCCCATATGGTCTTTTCATGTTATCCTCACCACAGCTTTTGTAAGTAGGTCAAGTACCAAAGTGTCAGGATCTGTAAACTTGCCTGCCAGTAAAGTAGAGTTTACAGACCAATCATCTCACTTATATAAGGAAAAATTCATCAGATGCACCCCTATGGGAGAGTCAGTTGGGCAGCTATTCCAAATGTTGCTGGCTGTTTTTTCTAAGCTACCCACTTCCTCATCACATAATCCAGAGCAGCACACGCCATGCTTCCCAGTGCCCATACATACACAAATACACACCCACACTATGTTGTTTCATTACACAGAAGAAAATACAGATGGTCTGGTCACTGCTGGTAAAGGGGTTGAAAAGAATTCCAGAAACCACGTTGTCCCAGCTTTCCCTGCCTGGAATGTTGGAAACAAATTGTGTAAATTGCTTGGGACTCTGCCAGCAGCATAATTCCACAAAAAAAGTATGGAACAAGACCAGAGGAAAAAGATCCAGGAAAAAAAATTGTCAGTGCATCCAAATGAACAAGACAGTTTGACAATGCCTTGGAATGCTGCTGATTGCCCCATTTTAAAGCCCTTGCCTTGTTGCAGTCATCTGAACCAGGGTGGAGCTGTAATGAAGGGATTGGAAAGAGCTTCAAAAGCCATGTTCTGCATGCTTTCCAGACTTTGTTGCAAATAGAAGCATTGAAGAACAGATGAAAAAAAGTTGTTTATCACCTCCTTACTAAGGTTAGAAAAAATTAGATAGCAGAGGAAGCTTATTTTCTGATAATTCTGCTGGGAAAGGTCATCCAGAATTTTGGAGTGAGATGCCTTCATTATGCCTTTGCCCCCAACTATACTCCACTCCTCCTGTTATCTTCATAGATGTTGCACTCACCCAGTATCTGTGCAAAGTTTATCTTCAATACTATGTTCAACAAGACAAGTGGAATTCTATAACCAAGAGTTCATGATTGTGATGATTAAAAAAAGGGCAAAAAATCTTAAAAGGAAAATTTACAAATAGAATGAAGAGTTGAAAAACTATTTGAACATACTCAGGGTGCTGCATTGTTTGATGACTTCAGGGTCCATTTTAAGACTGTTGTCTCTATCTTTATTTTATTATACCTGTAATTATTTTATTTTATTTATTCATTTATTTATTCATTTATTTTTCAATTATTAGCATCTGTATAATCATCTTGTTTTTTTTTACAAAATGATTAATATGTCAGTTATTTATAATTTTATTTATATTTTATCATGGGTGTTTTAATTTTGATTTTCTCCTGTGGCTGTTTTTATTGCTGATTGTTACTGGAAACTGCCACAAGTCTGTGGTTGATTTGGAAATATACAAGTGGAATGAATTAATGGATGGATGGATGGATGGATGGATGGATGGATGGATGGATGGATGGATGGATGGATGGAAAATTGTGCAACCCAAATCTCAAAAATCAATTTAGAGGCGGCTATCTGATTTGATGAAGATATGCCAAGAGAGATCTGGCTTATTCTGTAAGAAAAGCAAAGGCACTCAACAAGCCATTTACTGGGTAAACATGTTTTTTTAATGAAAAATTAATTAAGAAAAAAAGTGGAAATATCAGTTTATCTCTGGCAGAAATTGGAGCGCATAAGTGATCAACAGATTTTGGGAGTTAGTTTCCCATGAATGTTGGGAAGCCAGAATCTTAACCAAGGCACAGATTATTTCCACATGATGGATTTTGATCTTTCAAAACATTTTTGTAGAAGACAATTTCCAGAAACAAATGAAATGGGAGGAGCCGTTAGAAACAGAATGGCCCCTTGTTGCTACAGAGAAATTAAAAGGATTAACCAACAGCAGCCAGGGCAAAACCATAGAGGGAAGATACATTTCCAGCATAAGTACTTAAATCTTTCCCATACTGGTGAATTTCATCACTTGTTCTCTTACTTTAATGCAGTAAGATGGATTTCTCATGGCTGTACTGAGATTTCCATGTATATGAAAAGGGATAAAACAAACTCTGCCAACTATCACCCTATCAGTTTGATTAATATCTGTTGTAACTGTGATCCAGTTAGCATAGTAGCCTCATTTAGAAAGCACAAAAGAAGTTACTCAGCTATGTAGTCCACACGCCCAGGGACTAATATGTTCAGCAGTGATTCATATACACAGTCAGCAACCACAATCAGAAGCTATACAGAACTGTCTTGCATTTACTCTATAAACAGCCTATTAGTTTTTATTTATTCATTTTCTAGTCCACTTATCTATAAACAAATACTTTTCTCTTTACACACACAGATACAGAGAATACAAATACTTTCTCTTAATTTTCAGACTTCTCATTGCTTACTCTTCAGTCTTGAGATTCAAGTCTCTTGTAGTTATCAAACATCATTTATCCATTATATCAGAACATGCGTGCATGCACACCAGAAGAAAGATCCATGTGCATCCCCACCCACCACTCCTGTAATTAAATGTGCTTTTTTGGTAGTACCTGAATAGGACTAGTCCTGTGTATTTGAATGAGAGTATAGTGAGTTCCATCTGCAGAATATTAGGCACCAGCAGCAAAATCTGTTACCTTGTTTCGATTGCCATCATATTCAAATATATTAGTAAATCATTATTAAAGTATTAATGGGACAGCAGAATTTTTACTTGTTGCAAATGGTGATATAATGATATTATTGATTTGTCAGATAAATCTATGTAAGCAATTGCAAAAAAAAAATACACCTAATTTTCTTCTCTGCATTTGTAATGGTATATGGGAATGACCTTGGGAGATGGGAAGAAGAGTCACAAACTAGACAACTGTCATGCAAGAGATATCTGAGTCCACAGAAGCAGAGGGTGTGTGGGAAGCATTTCAGAAGGGAGCCTTCCTAGTTTCCTGGAGAGTAAAATGAAAGGAGGGGAAAAATACTTTCAGACTTGCAAGATTCTGCTAATGTAATCTTACAATAAAGACAGAGCTAGTATCCATTACTGTGCTTCTTGTCTGGACTATCCTGAAGGGCTGACAGCATCACACTTACCTGAATTTAGGGTGTCATGGGAGAACACACCCAGAAGGGAGAAGTACACAGAATGGCCATTGGACTCAAAGAAGTAGTGGTCTGGATTGGCCCCTACATTGACTATTAGGAAAAGTAGCAAATGCATTTCCAGAGATTACAGGGAGAATATTTACTACCTTGTAAATTGTACCTGATGCAAGAAAACAAATGCTTGTAAACACATGTACTTGATACATGAAAACAAATGCTTTCAACAGTTCAAGGGGCTGCATGTGAAGATATGTTGCTTCCAAATCATCCTTCCAGAAATGTAAATCTGCTCAACAGGAAATTATTTTGGTCGAATCATCCTTGACCTTATATAGGATTATTAACAGAACTGCTAGTCTAAGTGTTTGATGGCCACAGTATTATGAATCATGGGACACCAGTAAGAACTACTTGAATGCACTGATTTTATAAAAGGGGTTCTTTGTGGGTCCTGGACAAAGAATAAGTCAGTCCTTCAACAGGGCCTTTGGTAACCTTCCATCCAGGTTTTTATCATGGCCTTCATCTCCCTTAATTATGCTGAAACAATAAACCTAATTAGATCATTCATAGTATCCCGAATTTAACCACATTAAGGCTTTTATCTATGTTCATTGTCATGTAAAGATACAGTGATATAAGGATGAAATGATAAAAATGTATAGCATATTCTAGGAGAAACAAAATAAAAAAAATAAGCTATATAAAAGGAAAGCAGGCCCTTGGGAGAGCTCTAAATTGAAATAAAGTAATGATTTTAAAGCAACAAAAGATTTTCCTCAAAGAAAATCAGCAACAGTATAAGCCTTAAAGAAATGAACTAGTTCAGAAAATATACTTTTTAGGATTTACACATACAGTGGTACCTCGGGATACGAACGCCTCTACTAACGAACATTTCGGGTTACGGCCAGCTTTGGCAGGAAAAATGTACCTCGGGATACGAACTCGCCTCGACTTACGAACCGGATCCGCAGCCATTTTCCCTGCTGCCACGCGGTCGCGGCTTCCTGTAGGCGAGGTCACGGTAGCAAGGAGACATTCGGTGAGGCTTGTGGTGTGTTTTGTGGTGTTTTGTGAAGGTTTTTGGTTACGTGTTAGCATGGCTCCAAAGAAAA